AAATATATCATCTTCCCAGGAACATTTCATCAAAATAATTAATATGAATTAACTTGGAGCAGACAATCTGAGGTTCGATAACTCGACACTCGAGTTGACAGTTTTATCAACAAAGCAATGTAAACAATAACTACCAAGCTTTGTTAGCTTCATGAGCACAGCAAGCTAACTCCCCCGCTTTGCTCATGAAACTCAATGGTGTTTGTTTTACAGTTACACTGCTTTAAACTCCTGTGCGTGTATAGAACAGAACAGAACATTTTATTTCTAATTTAGAGCCCATAACAGACAAGTATGAAATTGTTACAATAATAAGGAAAAGATAAGCCAATGAATAGCAAAACAATTATTCAATTAGCAGTTGACATAAATCATTTCAACAATAATCCTGTCTAAAAGGAATACATCAAAAATGCATGTGTGTGTAAAAGACTAATGGTACTATAACATGTTATCATTTATAAATTTGCCCACAAAATTAAGAGTTTCCTTATCTTCTGTATTGAGTAACCAATAAAGTTTTTGTTCATCATCTAAAGCTGAAAATAGTGGAAATTTATGATTAATTAACTGAAACATTTCTTTTCTTTGATGATCAAATTTTTTACATGTTATTAAAAAATGAGTTTCATCATCTATGTTGTTAGAATTACATCTATTACATAATCGATCTTCTCGAGGATATTGGTAAATCTTCCCACTTCAATTTGTAATCTGTGGCAGGAAATTCTTAATTTACATAAAGATTTTCTGTGATGAAAATTTTTAACAACTGATAAATAATTCTCATAACCCCAATTTTGTTTGAGTTTCACATATGTGGATAATTTGCCATCGGTGTAACTTTTATAACTTGTATACCATTTCTTCACATAATAATCTAATAAAATTTTATGACAAAATGACTTAAATTTATATTTCCCATAACAAATAACTTTATCTTTAATATTCAGTAATTTTCTTAATTTCTGTATAAATGCAAACCATGAGTTCTTTTCATTCACGAAAAGCTTTTTACTATATTCATATGCATCTTTAAGTAAAGGAAATTCTATGGACAAATTCTCAAATCTATACCAACTTTTAATCAACAACCTGGCAATATCATAATGCAGGGGGAACCTTCCCAATTCAGACAGTACTGCAAAATTTGTGCTTTTCTTATGAACGCCGAGAATATATTTACAGAATTTAAGATGTATTCTTTCACAGGGTAGATTTTTAAAGCAATTTTGGCAGTTTAGGAATTTTTTAGTATTTATATTACTTGCACCCCACACCTCTGCATTATACAAAAGAATTGGTTTAATGGTAGAGTCAAATACATGTATACTGGTTTTAATCCCAGGGTTCAAATCAATAAAATCCTTTCTTAGTTTATAATATGCTTTTAATGCTTTTTTATAAAGCTCTAATCTTGCTACATGAAAGCTTCCAGATACACTTAGGTGGACTCCAAGATATTTGTAGCTGGGCACACATTCTATCATATTATTTTGAAACATTAGTTTTTGTGTAATATTACGACCAGCCTTATTAAAGATCATGACTTTTGTTTTTTGAATGTTTACCTTTAAACACCAATCAGAGCAATACTTTTCAAGTTTAGCGAGTCTTGCTTATATACCTTTAGCTGATGAGGATAAAATAAAAATGTCATCTGCATACATTAAACAATTAACAGTTTGTGTCTGAAGCGATACCTCATCAATACATGAATCTAAATATGAAGGAAAGTCATTGATAAGATAGATGAATGATCATTTCAGTCATTTACGTTCATGCTCTGATTTATTTGTCAGGAGTAATTTTTACTATAAAGTTGCATGTTTTCAACAAAGAAAATTGTAATTTACTCAGACTTATTCCCAGTCTGATTAAAATCAAACCTTCAGTAGCTCCTTTTTATGTTGTTTGTCGCGACAAACAAAATAAAAAGGAGCTAGTGAAGGTTTGATTTTAATCAGACTGACTTATTCCGGTAAACTTACCAGTGTCGTTAAACAGTAGCTGCTGAACTCGCGCCTCTGTTGCAAAAGCGTTCGTTCTTTGGTGATTTTGATTGGCTAAAAACTTAAAAACAAAGACACAACAATTCTGCGTTGCAACGAACAATTTATCCTTGTATGCAAACAAAGACACTGGTTCGTTGTCCACCTGTATGACATTCTGGGACCTAAAATTGTGACATTTGTATACTTTCATGTTTACACCTCTCATCCACCATCTTGATATCACATGACTGCAGCCTTCTAACGATATGCCGATCCCGAATTTAAATAATTTATCCTTGTAAATCGATCCCGACCTTTGCAGGGATCAGTAACACTTATACTAGAATAACTCCCACTTTTCATGCCCACGTAATCGAAGTCTCGGGTATATATAGTTTTTGCATGTACGTCTGTCTGACTGTCTGTCAGTTTGTCTGTTCATCCGCATAAACTTTAAATAACCTTGTCACTTTTGATTGGTTGGTCAACGCTTTTCATATTTCACATGTGTATTCTTTGTGATAATTGACATTTATTTAAAAATGTTAAATCTTTGCCATCATTTTCAAATGGTTTATACTTGGACATTCATATGTCTAGGTATAATCCTTGAGACAAGTCCTTCCACATGGTAACTTTTTTCATCACCTCTTGACCTTAAAGTTTAACTTGCATTTGAGAAACTTCGCCGAAAGCTGCCATATTGGGTCCACGTCGTCTGTCTGCTTTTTAGATTCTGTGTACAAAAGACGCTCTACCTGCACTTCCTCTTCCGAGGCAACTGCCACATAATTCTCACAAAAGGAAATGCTTTTCACTTCAAAACTCCAGTCCAACTCTAAAAATGGCACAACATCCACGTAAGTTTCTAAATTATACAATGAATGTACGTATGTGACCAGAAGTCGGACATAAATATTGACATGAAAATACGTGTGTTTTTTTTTAATGATTCAAATAAAATTGAATGTTTAAAAAAATTAAACAATCCCTCTATAATATCGAGTCAGAGTGCATATAATTATAAAATCATTATTAATTTTTTTACCGACTTTTTACCTGGAATATTGTGTAAATATTTCGTAGACAAAGCAATAAAAGAGTCTCGGAGATAAACATGAAAGGATGGGGGGTTTTGCCTGTACATGTGTAATAAATTGGTAACTTGAAGATTTTTTTCTTTTTTAAGTGAAGCTCAGAGCACTGATAGATATGTTCAGGATATACTGAAGGGATAAGATTTTTTTTTTTTCATAAAAATTATATTTGAAACATCATGCAATTTCAAACTGATATTTATTCACTTTTTTCATAATGCTATTTCTAACACATATGTAGTATTTTTTTTAACAATTAGTACTTTAAGATTAAAAATATTACGCATCATTACCACTTACTATGGGTCCATACGACTAGTATATCTTGCATAATAAATTGGAATAACGATATTGGTTGGGGTCAATTGAGCTTTAAAAAGTATAGCTAACACATAATTCATAAAATTGGTGCTAAAATATTAGGCTCCATTAATTTTGGGTGTCGTTTCAAGCTGATAATGCTTTCATAACCATGTATTTATAGAATATTGCTCAAGTTATTCATATATAGACATGCGTTTTCTATCAATAATAAGACATGAAATGTGTGTTGAGCAATTTCAAATTTACCTTTATAACGTTAAATGTGCTCCAATAGGAAATGCCTTTTGCTTTCAGTACAATGTTCCATTATTGATTAATCTTTTCCCAATGTTTACATCATCTTAGTCTGTTTGCATGTTCAATTCACCAGCTAACAACATTGAGAAAACGTAATTTCAAAAAATTCAAACAATCGTATCAGGTTCAGTGGTGAGAGGAACTATTTTATGGGAGTATTTGGGAATCACAATTGTTCAGTTTTAAATCGAACCTTCTGAAATGACAGCCTAGTTGCACGAGCTCTCGACAAATATATATATTTTGTAGCTATATACACAGTGGAAAGGGGTGGGTACTCCTTTGATATTAAGGTCTAGGAACCCATCACCACCATCTTTTATTAGAATAGGATATTTTCAGAAATTAGCAAAAGGAAAGATTAGAACATCCTATCTAGACAATTTACACATTTCATGCACAAGTATCATAAAGTATCATAAAGTATGTATTAGAATCCCAGAATCCCAGCTATAGTTAGCATTTGTTCACTGTTTTCCGAAGGGACTATGGTATCCCACAATGGCGGATCAAGAAATCTTGAAAAGGGGGGGACCAGTTTTGGGTCAGGGTAGGGGTCCACCGACACACAAAAAACATTGATTTATCAAATATTTTTTTGACACAAAAAGGGGGCATGCCCCCTGCCCTCTCTAGATCCGCCAGTGTCCCAAACAAAAACATCAAACATGTACGACATTTTTTGAATTTTAAAATCAAGCTTCAACTTAAGTTTTTACGGTGAAGCGATCACGCTTATAACTTACTGTGTTTTGATTTTATGTCAAAGAAAGGGTCATATCTGTCCGTTGCAGTACATATTTTCTGGACGCGTCAACACTTCATAATTGTTATAAGCAAAATATTGTCACTATATGCCTCTGTTACCAAGTATTGACTCGGACATTCCCCCTTCCTATAACATATACATTGTATTTAATTTGCCCTTTTTTGACGTTCATGGTAGTTAGAGCATATCTATACGTGCCAAGTCTTAGGCCTTAAGTAAAGCTAACGATACATGGGCAAATGATTGAGTAATGAAAAGGAACACACGATGGGTATGACCGGTCGGCAGTGGATGCTCCTTTATCCATGGCACCTGATCCCACCTCTGATGTTTTAGAGGTCCCTGTTTGCTCTGCTCCCATTTTGTATTGTTTGAATGGACTTCTGAACTAAAATATATACTGTTCGTTATTTCCGTACTTCATTACAAAGTATTTGATTGACAATAAGCTTCATAAATTATATTTCAAACTTCTTTTGGAATATTATTGACAGAAGTGTTCTTCAACCAATTCAGTATTGTAGATTTCCGACGGGAGAAGACAAACAGATTGGGGGAATTACACCACCCCCAGTGTTTGTTGTTCTGAAGTTTTCTGCACGAGGTGTCAGGTTTAAAAGGCGACCTATCTTATAAAATGAAATTTAAAACACTGTGCACTTTCTTTCCTTGTCACCACGGGCAACCTCGAGACTCTTCCCGGCAAATGGAAAGCGCTTCTGTATGGCACGCATGTATCCGGTGACTTAAGCGAATTCGTCATTGATCAGTGTGCTTAATCGGATGGGATTTGCAAACCCATAAAATACTAGTGATTTAAACATTTAAAAAACGGATCGCTGAAGCCTTCAACTATTTCATAAATTGGATATTAAAAAAAAATATTTCAAATGTAATTTATAACAAAGGTGGATATTTTAATGATTTTTGGTGTGAGCTTGTCATTTAAAAAGACCACAAGAGAGATGGTCCAGAACCGAAGTCGATAATTGGATAATTTTACCTCGGCAGGTAAGAGGATCTTCACATTTCTGCTATGTCAAACACTATCACCTATTTTGCTATCGATAAGGAATAAATCTGAAAAAAACGAGGATATTGTAGGTATAATATACTAAGGGGTTTGTGGATTTAAGATCCAACTTACCCAAGTTTAAGTAAGTATTTATGAATACTGAATTTATTTGATTTTGTTTCTATTTCAATCCAAACTCAAACCTACAGTGTATAGACATGTTGATTTATCTTTTTGAATTATAAATTCAGACATGAGAGAGAGAGAGAGAGAGAGAGAGAGAGAGAGAGAGATTCATTAATTTCTTTCTAAGAGAAGTGCCCTTCCCCTGGAGATCTATTTTACCTGGTTAAAGGTATGTTTTCTGTGTACAGACCAATCATTGTTAGAACGAAAACAGTAGGATTTAATTCTTTTGTTAGCTTTGGGTTTAACTTTCAAATTAAACTTGATTTAAATCGAGCTTCCAATACAACTGTGTACAATACAACAGTTTTAAATTAACACTCAAGCGCGACCAACACGGACTGAACTTACGATCTAGTGTAAATCAAATCGTCATAAATTTATTTTAACAGTAAACGCTGTGCATATACATCCACAAGTGTTGGTATAACTGCTTATACTCTTAAGAACAGATTGCTTGCTTGTCGTATCAAAAATCAATAAGTACGATGCAGATACCCAGTTCAATTTTATGTGATCCCAAAATCTATCCCACTTCATGTTAAAGATTGGTGATCAACCATGATCGGGGTTTCATACAGCCCAGGGAAATGCGATCGGAATTAAAAATCAATTGAACCACGCAAAAGGTTTTATTCTTTGTAATACGATTAGAAAAATATAGCAGCAATTTTCACCATAATACCAGTTTAACTTTATACAAAAAAGAACAATCTCTTAACGTTTGATCCAATAATCGGAATAATGTAATGTTGATCGGGTAGTTTACTTGAGGCGTTAATCCTAAAATCGATTTTGTTCCGCTAACATTAAGTTCTAAAACTATACATATATTTTAACTGCATTCGATTTTCTATCCAATAAACTTTGTTTCGGAGTTTGATGCTTTCCAACACCAAACACGATCAAACATCAGGTTTATGGACCAGCAGTTTAATTGTAATACATGTATCATGTTTGGTCAGTCTTTCTATAGCTGACCATGAAATACGATGCTCTAGCAAGTTACAGGGTGCTTTTCGTTCAATTCCAATTTGATAAATTTTTCATCAAAAATTAAAGGCAAACGATTTTTGCACTTTCATATAACATTTAAACTCAAAGATTTGCGAAATTTTGTTTTCCAATTTGAAATTCAAAAGAGGTATTGGTTTGAATTTTTAACTTTAGTCTGTTCTCAGTTAAAGGTCTTGGGGCCTGGTCTTCAGACAATATCTAAGGAGTCCAAATTGTTCTCCTCAATATCCACTAACAAAACCGAGAAAGTTGCTATAAAAGATACGCAACCGAATATATATGGGAAAGTTTATCAGATGTTAATAACTGTCAATTTAATTTCATAGGTCTGAAGTTTGCATGGTATACGAGATGGACCTTTCGAAACCCAGCACCGATTAGAGGAAGGTACCCCGTCCGGAAGTGACCATGAGTTCCATGTACTACAGGGTGGATCCTCCGCGGCCAAAGTCCCCAACCTTTGGGATGGGAACGAGGACCGCTAAAGAAATCAAGGAAATAACGGAAAGACTAGTGAAATCCACATATGAAAGAAAGTTAGCGACTCAGGAGAATAAACAAGTGAATAATTATGAACATCTACTAGAGTCTGGGAATAGGAAACGCCTACCGTCTGCTTGTCGTGATAGGAACATCAGACCGCCCCCTAGCCGGGAGTCGGACGGGAGGCGCTACACCGACAGAGACTTCCGGGTTCTGATGCGCCGGTTGATGCGGCCTACCATGAGTGCTAGCGCTAAATATCAGAAACAGGATGAGGACACTGTAGATAAAATACAGAACCTTAAGGAAGGTAAAATCGTCCGCGGCGAAAAATCCGACAGAGAAGGATCCGCTAAAAGTGTCCGTCGGATCAGCCGTCCTACTACAGCCTCCCGCGCTAAAACTTTCGAGTGCCACTTGTGTTACGAACACAACAATAAGAAGGCGGACGAGGAGCCGGACGCGTTCGATTATGAATACTCGGATTCCAGGGCTGTGCCTAAGGAGGAACTGGATTATATCGTGGAGAGAGTAGCAATGCCGACCTGTTCCAGTGCCAAAGGAGGGAGGAAATGTGCCAAAACGCCAGTGTATATTGACGAAGTTAAAATACGAGAACAACTGCCATTACTTAGTGGTTTAGGAAGGAGTAAAAATGTGCAAGAAATAACGAACCGTCTTCATAAACGACGATATAAATATACACCCATGGCAACGGAAATAACAGTATTTTCTTAGCTGTGATAATTGTGCGATTGCATTTTATTTTTCATTTCGTTGGTAACTAGTAAGATGGTTTCAAAATGAAATCAAAGGCTCTCGTTTCGCAAAGTAGTGGATATTTAAAAGGATTTAGATTTTCGGAGTTTCGTCTTTTAAGTGACCATAAATAATACTGTGAGAAAGGAGCGATCAATGTCATATTTATACAAAAAGAAAAAAAAAAAGCCTTATTTTTTTTACACATACGTGTACAAAGTTAACTTTTCTCTCTTAAATATTTCCTAAGCTTTGCACTAAATAAAAAATTTAAAATTCAAATACAATTTAATACTAGTAAACGTAATATTTCTGTGTAAGTTTTTCAATTGCTGATTTATAGCTTTAATTCTGAAATTGATCTCTCTGTGCTTTCACTCTCAGCTATACTTTAACCTACATAATTTTTGACTCTTGAAATTGGAAATCAATTGCAAAACATACGGTTTCCAATAACACAACACAACTTTATATGTATCTGATTTTATTTCTGAACAATCACATGGTCAAATTCAATCATTGTGTTAAAGTACCGAATGGTTTGTGTACAACTTAAATATAATCATCTACAGCTGATAAGTGTATCATTGGAGATTGCAAATCTGAGAATTTTTACCCTTAACATAATTTAATTCATAATTATCACATTTAAAAAAAAAATAAAAAATAAATGTTTTCTGTTAGCAAATTTTTGAAATTTTGTCTACAGCTGAACAAGAAGGATGCATTGTGTGGATATAAGAAATGTTACAACTCAGTAACCATGCACCTAACTCCAGTAAAAAGCTACAAAGATATTGTTATTCAAACAATAATGGAACCTTTTTAAAACAAGTAATGATATTTTGAGATTCCTAAAAGTTTTTGAGATTCAACTTTTAATGGAATAAAAACAAGTAAAATCTATAGCAAAATAAGTCGACATTTTTAAAAGTGAACAAAAATTGGAATTGCACAAAATTTCAGGAACTAAAATTACCCAGGTATTACATGTGATCAGTAATATATGATGATAACAAATGAATGAGACCTTCACTCATCTCTCTGTAGCCTGAAAATACATCAGCACTGTCTATACTCCTTTAAATAGACACATTGAATCAGTTAGTGCTTGGCGAGACACATAACAATTTAAATTATTATCCAATTTACTATATAAATTGTTATTAGGAATTGTGAACTGTTTTAGATTTATTAATTTTTTACAAATTGTTTTGCTTATTAAAATGCAAACATTTGAACTGTTTATCACTCCCAAGATGAACTGTTGCTTGCATCAGAATGAATGTGATATGCAAGCATTTACATGTATGTCATCTTGACATTGCCTAAATGAATAATTATAACAAAGAACAAATATTACCCTTCTATATTTCTAATTTAACACCACACAGCATGGGAATATTAAAAAGCTTTTAGTTTAAATAAAACATATAACCTACTGTTGCTGCACGATGTTAAAACAGATATGAAATGAAAAAGTCCACTGATATCAAACCTGTGTTTTAACTACATGTATAAGGAATATAACAGGTTAGGTAAAACATGAACATCATGACTACTTTGGCAACAGTCGAACAGTTCTCCCTTGAAAGTGTGGTAGACCTGGGAAACTTTTCCCTTGGCCTTTGACCTCGGGTAACAGATTCCAATGTAAAGTATATTAGGAAAAAACCAGAATGTTTCCTTTATAGTCATAAAAAATTTGTAACATTATGTAATTGAGATAAAAGTAAAAATTTTGCGTAATAAATTACAGTATTGCTAAAACCAATGGACTTTTTAACAATGAAAAAGCAAACAGTATTGACTCATTTGAAAAAACCTTAAACCTCCACAAAACATGATGATATAACAGAGACACAACTATTATGCTATAATATTATCTAAACAAATACCAACAAACCACAAAAAAAAAAAAAATAAAAATAAAACTGACAAAAATATACTCATAAAACAAAAAATATGGCATCATATCATCCAATGCAATGCGTTGTAATATATATGAAAATGACACTATTGTATTCAAAAAATAAACTATAGCAAAACAATAAATATAATGGAACTAATTTTTTTTTTACTTCACAACTTTGCTATTTAAAAGCACCTTTATGATATGCTGTTTACAGTGTTCTAAATAATTCATTTACATGTAGGGTATATCAAATATTGTACCCTTTATACATATCTTAAATTAAAGTAAAATAATAAGATCTTCGAACAAAACATTAAATTTAAATAGGAAAATTAATTCATTTTCTTATTGTCTAAACATATCTCGGGCAAATGATTTATATACTTAAATTAGACATATGAAACAAAATTCTAAAATTAACTTCAGTTCACGTACAAAACAAGCTAATTCAGAGAATTCGTGTCCCCCGCTTATGACTGAATTTGTAGAATTATTAAATGTATACATGTTCTGAAGGAAATAAAATACATGTAAATATGCATATAAAGATTTGATTATTCTTTATTATGTGTATGATTTTTTTATAGGAATATTTATCACACTGTAATGATATCATAAATTTTTCATTTATTGAATACTATCATTTAGTAAAAAAAAAAAAGTATTTAAAAAAAAAAAAAGAAGAAACCCCTTTATACATATCTCACATTTGAAGCGAGTGACATAACCAATACACGGAGTGAAGTATATGCAGAACTGAAGTCACATACATGTATATAATGTTTTCAGATTCTCAAAATTTTACACAGGTGTTTGATTTATTTAGCCTTTATTAAACAGTTATAACAGATGTAATAAGAACATAAAGTCCGCCGAGAACCTGTTTTATACGCAACAACTCTCCTCATGCCCCTGCGCTAAAAATAGCGACATGTAATACTATAAATACTAATAAAACAAACAGGGCGGGGCACTTTGAGAGGGGCGAGAGACGTCCTAGGGAGTTTTGGTATAAAATTACATTGCATAAGCTCAAAATCTTCTTGAAAACAAAATTCAGAATGTATAAATTAACTTGAACTTTGACCTTTTGACCTCAAAATCAATAGGGGTCTTCTTTAGGCCACAAGTTGTTATGTAAAATTTCATTGCGATCTACAGCCAAGCTAAAGTGTTTTACAACATAATTTGCTTATTTATGTACCTTTTGACCTCAAAATCTCTTCACCAAATACACACAGTATGGTCTTACAGACAGACAGAAAGACGGACGGACGGACACACAGCCAAGCTAAAGTAAACAAACATATATTCTCTCACCAAATACACACAGTATGTCTTTCACACAGTCACATTTTATCAGGAATTAATGGCAACTATAGCAAAATAATGAAATATACATGTATTTCTACTGATTCTTCTCTACAAATTAAAAAAATAAGCTGATTGCTCAGGATGCCCTATACCTTATTTTCAAAAGGTCTGGTATTGAATGGCAAGAAGATAAAAGTTCCTTACAGTATCTGTTGTAGTCATGAGCTAGGAGCTGGTAATTTCACCATCACATAATTTCATTTTGATAGTTGTAATTAAAACAGTAAAAATTTCATCTAAATCATAAAGAAAAATATTACACGTACCGGTAATAATACTATGCTTTTTATAAATAACCAGAAATCCACAATGTTTTTTTTTATCTAGATAAATTCTAGCTTAATCAAAATAAAACTCCCTTTGACCTTGACCTAAGCATATGTAGCAGACAAGTCCTGGTGTTCCTGTGACCTTGATCATTACATCTGTATCTGACCCCTTGTGTTTCCTGTGAACTTGACCTTTACACATCCTTGCATTTCCTTTGACTTTGATCTACACATCAGAAGTTGACATGTGCTTTTGTCTCCTGTGACCCTGACCTACACATCTGAAGTTGACATGAGCTTTTGTATTCTGTGACCTTGACCTACACGTCTGAAGTTGACACGCCCTTGTTTTTAGGTTCCAGTAACTTGTCTGTCTCATCCTCGGCGATGTAAAACAACGGAGAAGGCTTTTTATTGGTCTGTGGCTGAGATTCCTTTAAGAGGGGCTCCTTTATATGTACGGATAACTCCTTCTCCTCAGGGGGGCTCCCAGCCAGGGGGGACATTTTCTTCCCATTCCTCCTGTTCTTGTTCTTCCTGGAAATATGTATTTATCAATAATTTTCTAGATGATTGACTTACTTTTTTAAAACACTGGATACAACATAAACCAATTTTACATCTTTCTTTTTTATTTTATTTTTACAATGCCCAGTTTGATTTAAAGCAAAAACAGAAGGTAAAAATAAAAAATCCTTTGAAATTACATTTTTTTTCTGAGGGTTTTTCATTGTTTTTGAATTTTGAAAATAAAAAGCCACAAATTTATACCCTCTATAAATGTAAGATTAAACAAAGCAGTATTTCCTTGGGATTCAGATACCTTTACACCTTATTTAGAAAACCCAGCAATTTTATTCACTTAGAATGAAATTCCAGATAAATTTAACCATAGAAGAGCATTTTGTAGTAAGATCCAGCAGCTGTGTGCCTACTTTTTCTGGGAGGAGGCTTCAAGCTTGGTCAGACTGTTGCTGGACTCGTTGGCTACTATTGTTTTCCAGATGTTTGATTTTGACATTTCCTCTGAGATGTTGATATCTGGTTCTGTCGTAACGGTGATTCGTTCCACAGGTATATTGATGACATTACCACTAATCAAGGGCACCTGCACTGTACCAGAACTGTCCAGCACCTGAGAGCCTTTATGAACCTGTAAATTCAAAACATACATTTAAAACCTGACCTTTGGGAGAATTTTTTCAATACTGTACATTGCATTTAAACTTGCACTGATTAAAAAATTTAACATACTGTTGAAGTGAACAAAACATTTTAAAAAAAAATTCTAAGATATTGCTTGTCCATCCCCCTTTCTCTTGTTAATTTTTTTTTAAACTAAAACCAAAAGAGACAACTCTTGTCCCTCTCTCTCTATGTACTGAGTTACTGCATTACCTCCTCTTTGTCTTGACGTTTCAGCTCATCCTCTTTGGCTCGTTTATTGACTTCAGGCATTATATCATCCAGCCATTTCAATTCTTCCTGAGTAAAAATTCTGTCCAAACCCTTGCGGATAAAACACATACCAAGCACCTGCAATTATTGAAGAAGCACTACATATGAAAACTCCAAGTTTTGATTGGATACCGTATAAGTAGAATTTTTAGCGAGGATTTAATTTTGGCATTATTAGCGAGGGTGCCGAGATCGCTGAAATTGAATATCGCTAAAAATTAATTGCATTGTATTTGTAATAGCTTCTTTAATGTGCATTTTAAAATCGCTAAAATAAAATCTCGCTAAAAATAAATTACCAGTTTTTAAGGACAAATCGCTAAATTTGCGTCTCGCTAAAATTTCCACTTATACGGTATAAGAAAAGACAAACAAGCTGAAAAAACTTTTTGTTCAGTTATTAATGATGAAAAAGGTAATTCAGCTAGAATAGAATTGGTTAAAAATTAAAAGTTTAATTTATATTCTACTCCTTCTGACATATAAATAATGCTACTTCAAAAATCTCTTACACCTACCATGATAGGGAAAGCAATGGATGTTTTCTTGATGCTTTTGATGATCCAGAGGATGATGAGACAGAGGACCTGTATGAGGGTGAAGAGGTGGACCCTCCGGGTGGGGACGTGTCGGAGGTACGTATAGTCCGGCTGGTACTTCTGGGGCATCAGCCAGATACTGATACGGTTCACAATCTGCATTCCGTGTAACGACGAGACACCCATATAGAGGAATACACCGTATAAAACTGGCATAGGGATGTACTGAAACAGAGAAATGTAGACATTCTAATCTTTTTGTATTACTTCTGTCTGATCGTATGGATATTGAAAATAAATCTCATTCCAAATTGTGAATTAAATGTAAAACTTCCCCTCAGAAATTGAAAGAATTTTAGAAAATGTGCATTATATGAAGTTCAACATAAACATGTAAATAGACTTGAATAAAAAAACTAAGAACATATAAAGTCATTATCTGCAGTTATATCTTCCTACTTTTAAAACTTCTGTCAGGAGTACAGATGCTCCAATCATGACACTGATGGCTATACCAGTTCCTCTTTGTTCCCTGAAAAAAAAATTAACCATAAACCTTCTTCGCTGACATTACTTTGTGCAATATAAACATATGCATAATCACTCATAAAAGAAGCTGTCCCTGGGCAAGATAGACTTACCAGACCCCCAGGAACTTTGGACTCTCCCCAGGAGCTGAACACTCTGATTCCCTCTTCAGTGACATCACATGTGTAATGGATAGGACTGTCTCCGTGACGTACCATGGTAACCCCAGAATGGAGCAGACAACCACCAAAGTAGCCACCAAGAACAAGTCTAAGTGGTATCCATGTCCCTTCTACAAAATGGTAAGACATTATCATTATAGAGCATGAAAGGAATGTTTAACAGTAGGTGTATTTCAACCTTCCTTGATAAAGGTTTCTCATCCTACTTGTCAGAGACCATGTAAACTTACTACTATTCTTGGACTTTCTTTGGAGACTTAATGTACTTACTCATTGACTCACCAAATGTGAACCATTTTCTTAAAAGCTATTTGCCATAGAGATTTGCTTGTACCATTCATGCACCACTTGCCTTGTAGACTGGCATGTGACCTACACACCACATTCATGGAAGACTTGCATGTGACCTATACACACCACATTCATGGAAAACTTGCATGTGACCTTTACACACCACATTCATGGAAGACTTGCATGTGACCTATACACACCACATTCATGGAAGACTTGCATGTGACCTTTACACACCACATTCATGGAAGACTTGCATGTGACCTACACACACCACTTCCAAGGAAGACTTGCATGCACCACTCTCCTTGGAGACTTACCACTAACTTGTTCACCTTTCTGTTGATGATGACGAGTGTGATTTGTTGGTCTGACTTACCACTAACTTGTTTTCCTTTCTGTTGATAATGACCAGTGTGATTTGTTGGTCTGACTTACCACTAACTTGTTTTCCTTTCTGTTGATAATGACCAGTGTGATTTGTTGGTCTGACTAACCACTAACTTGTTCTCCTTCCTGTTGATAATGACGAGTGTGATTTGTTGGTCTGACTTACCACTAATTTGTTTTCCTTTCTGTTGATGATGACCAGTGTGATTTGTTGGCCTGACTTACCACTAACTTGTTTTCCTTCCTGTTGATAATGACGAGTGTGATTTGTTGGTCAGATTTACCAGTAACTTGTTCTCCTTCCTGTTGATAATGACGAGTGTGATTTGTTGGTCTGACTTACCACTAACTTGTTCTCCTTCCTGTTGATAATGACAAGTGTGATTTGTTGGTCTGACTTACCACTAACTTGTTTTCCTTTCTGTTGATGATGACCAGTGTGATTTGTTGGCCTGACTTACCACTAACTTGTTCTCCTTTCTGTTGATAATGACGAGTGTGATTTGTTGGTCCATGAACAACAGGATTGTGGCCAACAGGGCAGGAAGTATGGCAGCAAAGGCCAGCCACCAAGGATTATGTTCTACTGGATCCACGATCCAGGATCTCTTAGCATCTGTAGGCTGAAAGCAAAGAGCAACTGTTGAAATATTTCAGCAGAGAATCCCTTCACTGCACATTTCTGTAATTTTATTGAGTACTCTTTTTCTCATTCAAATTACCACAGACCTGTTTACCCTTATCGTCATCTCTCAGTATTTTTTAATAACACTTATACGTGAGATTTGACATTTGCCAGTAAGATTTGACTTTCCATTGATTTTACGTATATGAATAGAGAACAACTGCTTTTTGGATTATTAAAACATGGTTGAAAAACATGTTTAAAAAAAACTTAGATTTGTCATTTTATACCACAACGAACTGGCAACTCAACATCACTGATGTGTTTGAAATCTTCTTCTATATCGATTAAAAGGTGTGAAACTGAGCCAGATCATTAAAGGTGGATGATTGTATATTGTTTAACATCTCTCTCTTGAGAATTTTTACTCATGGAGATGCCACCATTTGCTCATGGAGAGCTGCAGACTTTGTCCTATATTCAGCAATCAAGGTCATCGAGGAGGGAGGGGTCTTTTTTGTGCCAGCACCTATTGTGACACGGGACCTCGGTTTAAAGGGTCTCCACGTCGCACAGTGGGATTCGAACCCACGATGTAAGGATCAAGTCAATACTGCACAACTCTTAGATCAGATGCTCTAACCACTGTGCCACGCAGGCGACCAGATCATATCAATTGATTGATTGTTGTTTTATGTCGACTCAGCATTATTTCAGCAAATCATATGAAAACTTTATAATACAGTTATTTATATTTTTGTAATAGCAAAACGTGAGGCGTATTTTGGATTAAAACCCGTACAAAATATAGTAAAATCGTAAGAGCAAACATGCTGTTACCAAAAAAAAATTGCAGTGATAACACTTACCCTAAATTCTGATGGGACTCGTAGTTTCGGGGTGTGGACTGCAAATACTATGTCGACAACTACCATAATAACAATGGCAATGATTACACAAAAATCACTCAGGAATTGCTTCACCTACAAAGAATCATACACTGATGTTATATTTGATTGAAGAAGCAGCTGAGAATTCAGTTAGGTTATAATTTCTAGCACTAATAATCAATCCTAGCACTAGTAATCAATCATGTGGCTCTGGGGCCTTAAAATGTTGTGCTATCTTTTAATCTGTCTCACTTTTCCATTTTATATTCCTTTTGTAAAAGTGAGACTGGTACTTCACTTAATTAAGAAAACAAGTATATGTTAACATGTACTGGTATGCAATTTCGATATATATACTTGAATGTATGAACACTAACCATATTAGGAAACATTCGTTTTGTTTTCATTCCTTTTAAAGTCATGGCAATGGCAAATGTTCCGGCAAACAATATCACAGACATGAAGAATACTTCCGGCTCCCGTGTGTGTATATCCACGGGAGACGACGTCCAATTTCCTCCATCTATAACACAGTCTCGTAGACTTTTACTGGACCATTCGTCTGTATCATTCTCTGTAACATTCCTCGTCCATATATTTACACTATTATTAGTCTGATTGTTAGAAGAATATGGAGAAGCACAGAAACTGCTACATTCCCCTTCTGTTGGCGAATCACCAAAATGAATAGGATGCTTTTTCATCACATGGAATAACTTTTCAAACGCTTCAACGACAAAGATGAGGGAAATCAGAAGTGCAAAGCCTTCCTCTGTAAATCGTGTCACATACTGCACAAGTGCAGATAGGTCAAAAACCACAATGAAATACAAAATGGCCGCAATCCACATCCCGATCCAGAAACGGAATTCTAAATAGTTCCAGTCGTTTTCACTAAAAATTAAAAATGGGATAATCAAGACATGAAATAAAGTTTTCAAAATAAAATATTTTATAATTTAAGTGAATTATTTTATGCTATGATTTAGAACATCAATTTTACATACTGTAAATCACTTTTTATTCGCGAGAAACAAAGAACATTTAATCGCATATAATAGTATTGCATAGGATTATATAGAGGAATAACAACAATTCGTGAAAATTATGTCTCGCTAATAAAGAGTCAATGACTATCTCGTAAGAATAAGGTGTGGCGAAAATATAGTGATCTACAGTACCTGCATAAGTCATAGAGGATTTTTTCAAACACCAGCACCGGTCCCGTAAATCCCAGTATGGCTAATGGCTGAGCCGCAGTCAGAGCATAAATTACTCCACACAAAGCTGCTGCAAATATACTCTCCAGAGCCCCCTGTCAAACACAATGTAAACTCTGTTAATTATACTGTATACGCTGCATATTTTACATGTAATACTGTAAAGTTATATTATAATATCTTGTAAATTACTGTGAAAGAAATATTTATTGTCATTTAAAATCCATTAATTAAAATACTTAATTGACATTGGGAATCATGGGAAAACATTAAATTTTCTGTAGAACTTACCATCTGATTATCTGTTTCGTCTGCTAAGAACGTTCCAAATGTGATGATTGGCGTCAGACTGGCGAAGTAGAGGAAGACGAAGGAGGCGAAACACTGGATGTGGAGGGAGTCACGGAGGTCAGAGACGTACCAGGGGAGTCTACGTCTGATGTCGTCAAACAGACCGCCGCAAAACCTGACGAGTAAAATATGTATAGGGCATTATAAAACAGACTTCCACACAACCTGATGGGTAAAAAACATACAGAGAATTATAAAACAGACCCCCACTCAACCTGACGGGTAAAAAACATACAGAGAATTATAAAACAGACCGCCACACAACCTGACGAGTAAAAAACATATATAAAATTATAAAACAGACCGCCGCACAACCTGACGAGTAAAAAACATACAGAGAATTATAAAACAGACTGCCACACAACCTGACGAGTAAAAAACACATAAAATTATAAAACAGACCGCCGCACAACCTGACGAGTAAAAAACACACAGAGAATTATAAAACAGACTGCCGCACAACCTGGCGGGTGGAAAATGTACAGAGCATATTGAATGAATGTTATCACCTTCCTTAAAAGAAAGACAAATATGTAGCGCAGCATTTTTTTTTCTTTTTGTTTTTGCTGTTTTATGAACACAGATAATTATGTAGATTTACTGCCAACTTAATGAATTGGAAAATTGAATGAAGGGGTCCAGAAACCATTTAAGCAGACCTGCCAAGTGACCCGCATTCGGTGGGTCACACCCGCAAAACTGACCTCTCACCCCCCACTCGTAATGACCCGCGGCGGGTCATCATTTTCACCCGCAAAATCGATTGTCCCCATTTTTTAACCCAATTTTCGGTAAATAATCCGAAGAGAGATAACTCTAATTTATTTTAAATTCGACACCCGACGGCGCCTTTGATAATGGAAACGGAAGTGTAAACAAGACCATGAATAATGCCAGCGGCTATGTTTTTTTAACGATGTATGAGCTGTGATCATCAGAAAACAGGTAATTATTTTGATAAAGAGTTCACAATCAGTTTGAAAATGTCTTCGGTAAGGAAACGATCGATGTCTGGGCCATGTACACTGACTCCTACTAAACGCAAAAAATACAGTTGTAAATACCAAAGTACATGGGAAAAAGAATTCCAATGGACAAAAGTGCAATCTAGGAGAAGATTGGGCTTATTGCAAGCTCTGTCAGATTAATTTTTCAATTGCTTCTGGTGCATTGTACTCTCAGTGGAGAGCTATTGGGGTGAAATAGCTAAAATGCAGGACATATTCACAAAACAGAAAAGATTTCCTTGTTTGAGCAAACTTGCTTTAATGTGTATTGTAATCCCCATCTCTAATGCAGATTCTGAGAGAATGTTCTCCATAATGAGAAAAATTGTCACAGAATGCAGGTCTGAACTCAAAAATGACACAGTTTGCTCATTGCTATGTACAAAACAGAACAAAGACCATGACTGTTATGAATACTTTCCATCTGAAAGTGTGCTTAAAGCAGCAAAACTGGCATGTAAAGATTATAATTTAAGCCTGAAATAAAATGTAATGAATACATGTGTGTGTTTACATCGATGTCTAAAAATTTGGGGACTATATTGTTACTCAACCCTCGAAAAATGTCGTCACGCGCTATGACCCAACATTTCATTTCTGAATGTTGGGTCATGACCCCCCACAGCATCAATTTTGGTTGGCAGGTCTGATTTAAGCCCTAGATAGGTGATATTTTTTATTTTCTTTACTTTAAAATTATGTAACGATTTAGATAGCAAGTTTGCATAGAAAAGGACAATGACAGTACATTGTACAAGTAATGTAAGGACTATGATATTCATATTTTTCACAAAAACAGCTAGAACACATTATGTTTCAAACTATAATATTGCCAATATCAAGTTATATCAAGCTTTTAGGATTCGGGCAAATTTTTTTGGGCACACCTTCCAGTTCTCCTAAGACTTGGATCGTTATGTCCTGGCTCCTCTACATCAAACTCCACTACTTTACCAAAGAACATAAAGTTTTTACGGAATCTGCGATGGGATCTGTTTAAAACTGGGGTCCCACTCCCCAGGGGGGAGAACTGTGACCTGATCCAGGAACTCGTCAATTCCAGCCAACAAGTCGTCTCTGTTCCTGGCATGGTACGCCACGTCATGGAACACCTAGAACAAAATAATTTGTTCACAATCAGTCTTCATGCCCCATGCAAAGAAATTTTCAAAACTTATCACTATTTAAGTAGATCTGTATGGCATCTTCTCTCAAAGCTATTTTGGAACTAGAAATGTAATAGACACATGATGAAAGGAAAAACTTTGCAAAAAAGGCAACATCAGTGAAAAAAATCCATTCATCTCCCAATTCGTATCAAAATATTAAGAGGCTGTCCACCGAAAAACCAGGCAATGGGTGGCACATCGCATGTCATGGATTTTAATTATTTTTTGCATGTAGACTTAATAAAGCAAGTGTTTACACATGACAACATCAAAAAATTTTACAGTGCTCCTCTAGTCCTAGTTTTGGTAAATGCTTAATTTTAAGTGCAAAAAGGTCAACATGAGGGTAAAAAAAATACTATGTTTTTATTTTGTTTTATATTTAACAGATACTCCAGAGGTGGATGTGCCAATGAATATTATTTATAGAATAGACTTTTATCTTTTATTTTATGAATGAATAAGACTCCAATTTATACTTCTTTAGAAAAAAATATCTGGTCCAAATTTGAGTTTAGCAGGTAAATGTTTAAATTCAGTATCCAATTTTAATTACGTTATAAAACCCAATACAATATAAGGACATATTTGTTTACTTATGTTTTTATGAATACAAAGTACAAACTTTTGGGTCATTCAATAAAATCATTGGGAAAAGGTATTTTGAAAGAAATAAAAGGAGTCAAATTTACTTATTTTTTATAGTTTTCACATATGAAACTGATCCCGACCGGAATTGTATAAAGAAGAAAATACTAAAATAGTAATGTCAAATTTGGCTCTTTTGTTGTAATATGATTAATAAATTATTTGATTTATTTTTTTAACATATTATATAGGTGGCAGTTGCCTTTCGTTTGATAAATTTATTAATTTTGCATTATTTTCGATCGGGATCGGTTTATTTCAATCGGGATCGGTTTTTACCGTAAATTTAGAAAAATTTCCTAAATTTGGCTCTTCATGTTATTTTATCAGAAAAAATGCTTGTCTGTTTTTTCTTTTCAGTCAGTTTACTGTTTTTAAATGAGTGTAACCATAGATTCAAATGTATGTATTATAATTACCAATGTCTTTTACTTACATGAAGATTACATGATCTGATTGTCTTAATGATTTCTTAATAGATCCTAGGTATTTTAAAAAAAAAAGTATTTGTGCATGCATGATTATGCAACAGCCAGAGCAGACAACTTTCTAGCTTCATTATTCATCTTATTTTCAAGTAAAATTTCTTTTTTATTTACCTCAGGAATTAAAGAGTAAATTCTATCAGTAGCGAAATTAAAATTGTCGAAATGCAAGAAATATTTTTATGTGTACAGTCTCGACTTTATCCAAGTTTTTTCTTACCTGTCATCTGTAAAGCCTTTTCATCTTTTACAAAATTTGATTTTATATAAATAAGAAAAGTTCTTCCATGTATAGTATATTTATTCAAGAGCCGATTAATCGCAAGCAAGAAGCGCGGAAGGGGGGGGGGGTGCGGGGTCATGGCATCATTATTTTTAAAAATTGATTTCATGAACGTGAAAACATTTTAGTATTGGTCAAATTAGTCACAGGTTTATACTCCATATTAAATATGAGCGTGTGATTGTTTCAATCGCCGAATAAAAATAAATAAATAAAATAAAAAAAAAACAAACAAAAAAAACAAAAAACAAACAAATGTTTAACTAAACCACCTTCCGTTATAGTGCCAAATTATAGTCGGGAGTTCAGCAGTAAATTTAACTCAATAAATATATTTTTATAACTTATTTTTCATTTTTTTTTCATTTTTAATCGTACTGTAGATCGTTTATTTTGATTTGATTGCATAGATAAATGTATTTAAGTTTTAGTTTTTAGATCTACCAACTTCGTTAAATTAAATGTTGCGTAAATCTAAAGCATTCATCATTGATTCCCAATTTTATAAGAAATGTTCATTATAAACACTTCATTAATTATTTTAACGCATATCCTGGTAAATCAATTTTAAAAAATTTGTTCTCAGACATGTATAAAATTACTTATCAAAACGTCATCTTGCTGAGACGCCGCCCTTGTACAGTGTAAAATACATTTTGATATTAAAATATTATTTAACATTCAGTATAATGCACTCTGAAGAGTAATTAAACAGAAAAAGAAAAATCATTTTTAAAACAATATTTTTCTTTACATTTTACGTAAAGAATTTACGAACTTCTCTGGAAAACTTGTAACTATTTCATTGTGACGCAATATTATGACGTCACTGATACATCAATGGAAACGTGGATTTAACTTATATATTCTAGCCAATTTTAATCTAAATATTATGTTTTGAGGCGAAAATGAATTATATTTTGAAAATAAATTATTTATTTCTTGTTTAATAAAGTGTATCGATTCTAAATATTTCAATTCCGATAAAAATGTGATTAGCAGATTTACCGATGCCACGGGAGATAACTCTTGCATCGCAAATTTTCATTAAAACGTCTATATATTTTGCCAGAAAACTTCTATTAAAAGTGTTTTTCCCAATGATTTTATTTTTTAAACAAAAAGATGAAATATTTCTAGATTTATTTAAGTGTGAATTATAGTCCTGTTAAAATTGTATTAGAAATTACAGCTCTTTGTTTCTAACCTACTTTCAATGGTTTATATAGGGGAATTCAAAAACACAAAACAAAAGGATATTTTACTAAATAAGCAATTTTCAAACAAATCTTCAGTTACATTATTCCTTTTGGACTACATTGATATTGTTTTTAATAAAATACCAAAAATTCATCACATTCGATGTGCCGCCTATTAATACAATACTGCCTGGTTTTTGGGTGGACTGCCTCTTAAGATTTGAACTATCCTTTTTATACAAATTTGGACATTGTCTACCTATTAGGTTTCTCATCAAAAATACCTCATCTGACATGAGTGTGGCGATGGCTCTCCCAATCTCATGGTATTTACTCTGATTACCCATGGGTCCGAGCATGAAGAAGACAAACTTGGTGGGGACTGGCACCTCCGTGAGGTCGGGCATGATGTAGGGGCGAAGAAGCCGGACAAACGCCACCACAGGGTAGGTCAGAAAGTCTACCTCCCCCACCAGAATGTTAGCAGCCTCCGCTCCAGGGGGTATCTTCTTCATAAAATGTAAATTCTACTGGCAGAGAAAAAAAAAAGAAATGTTTTAATGCAACTTCCATTTAAAATACAGGTTAACTTCGATATCTTGAATACTGATATTTGGAATACAATTGATATCTCTAAAACAAATTTGGAAGTCCAAGTCACATCTTTTTTTTTACTGTTTTACCCTTGACATCTTGAACTATTCGATATCTTTCAGGTTTGGCTGGGTCTCATGGGTCTGAGATGACAAAGTTGGACTGTTTTTGCCTAATTGTCATGTTCACTTGCCAACAAACAACATCCTGAAGTTCTCTACCTTTATCTGTTTTTCTCGTTGTAGGTCAGATGTACTGCTAGAAGAAGCTAGTGATCCAGCATATGTAGGGTGGGCATCTAATCTGGTCTTTGGTTTCTCCTGGGCCATAAGATGATGGAAATTTGGGGTACTTTTCGCAGACAATAGTCGATCATTTTTAATGGATAAATCTCTCTCATCACCTGAATAACAGCCCCAAAATTTCAGAATATAAACAAAATGTTAATTAATATACAAACCTAAAGACCAAAAAAATATTTGTCATTCAACTTTTCATCTTACTAATAGAATGGCGTTACCTAAATTCCCAATACCCTTTGCTACAGAGGCTTTCTTTCCGATTTCAGCAAAGGACCTGATGCTGGGAAGCATGAGTTTATTCCCTCCATTTTCCGTCACCCGTTTTTGATTCTGGTGTCGATGGCGGAGCAGCAGAACTTCCCTGACTCGGTCTTTCAGAGGTTCTTCCAGCTGTTTAGCTGCTACCGCTTTGTCTATAACCAGTTCTGTACAGCACAAAGAAAGACAACTCTTCTGTGATTACTTGAAAAGTTTAAATACAAAAGATTTCTTCTTAGACTAAATTTTAACCTCACAACAGAAGTTTCTAGTCTTTAAACAAGGAAGTCCATTCATTAAATAAACAATTCATAAAAATTAGTTTTAGAATACCCAGTCTTTTTATATGAAATAAATGGTTACTGTCTTTAAACATAATAAGTGATATTTCTGCAAGGGTAAGAAAACATAATAAAAGGTGAGGCTTGAAAATGAATGAAAAAGAGTAAAAAGACCAAAAATGACTGATTGCATTAAAACTACAAACAGGCCTATGCATGGATTGTGGAAATTCCAGAGGTAGGGTCAAGTGCCTAGGAGTAGTAAGTATCTCCTGCTGAAGTTCAGTTTTAAACCTACAGTCATGCAAGTATCTTGAAAATATGGATCAAATTAAAAAACACAAAGAAAAAAGTTCAGGAAAAAAGTGATATCATAACAATGGTTATTACTCAAGAAAGGTAACGTACTGTAAGGATTCAATGTGTTTACAAAGCTATTAATGATAACAATACGTGTACTTTAGTGGTCAAATAATTTTTTCTACATGTATTACATAAACTTTTCATACCAATATTCAGGAAATAAAACATAACCACACCTACTATTTCAAAGATAATATTCGGAGTTTCTTGGCAAGGACTTCAATCAACTCTTTATAGACCTGGTAATAAAACAATGACAAAACTGCTCCTACCCACTAAAGATGTTAGGTCAAAAGCCTCCACATCCAGCATGACGGTTCCATTGAGGATGTTACAGCGGAGTTCAAACAGAGAGTGGAGAGACAGGGTGGCTACGTGGGGCTTGGACCACCTCTCTCCCCCCTCCTCCACATCCTCTTCAAACTTTATCCACCTGAATTACAGAGTTACAGTTTTAAAAAGTTTGGAAAATATTTGAACATTTAAACACAAAAGTTGCATAAGGGTTAAGAGTTTTAGTGCATTTTTATTCTGATTTAAGACATCACACTCAAAGTCAAATTAATACCCTAACTCCAAAGTCGTTAATCCAATCTTACAATGTGGCACATATATAAAACACACCTAGCAGATTCCTTCCACTCCATTTGATCTCCATTATAGAAGAGTTCCTCCATTTCACAGAACAAATCGTGGGCTTTGTGTTCTTCATCCTCTTCCTCCCCCAACAAGAACTGAACCCGCTGGGCAGGGTGGGTGACTTCTGAAATATTATAGCTATTTGTTAAAACCTGTACTCTGAAATTACAATTTCTTTCTATAGTATCAAGTCATTGACTGAATTAAAAATGTCATATTTTTATTGGCATTATAGGAGAGAAAGTATAATATGTATGATTTTCAAAGTAGTTTTTTAAAAGGTCTTCTTATGTATGCATGCTCCCTGCCAAAATGAGTTTCTATACTGTAAATGTTTTACGACATTAAGCTGTGCATTCTCTTTACTATCTTTCACAAAAAAGCAATATTATATAGATATAAATAGGAACATATTATGTAAATGCACTAAATCAAATCTTTGCTTACAATGCACTTGTTCAAAAACCAATTTTCGCCAAATATCGTACAGTATCACTTAATGAAATACATTTACAGCATTTTACAAAAACATTCACAAAGATGAGGTCTTCTTCAATTTCAATCAATTTGTCTCCTTCAAAAGTGATGACAATTATTTTGTAAAAGGGAGTTACTTCATCGATTTCTATAGAGTTTTTAGAAATAGATTTCCCACAAGGAACAGTTTGTGAGAGCTATCAAGGAGCCAAGTTTATTTACAGTAAAATCACTGATGTTCTTTCATGCCAAAAGGGCAATGCTGACAAACAAATTGGCAGGAACAATGGATTCTTCTTTAGGCACTCGTTAATCGATAGTTCTTTTTTTCACTGCAAGAATCCTTGTGGAATAGACAACTTGAGGAGAAATTCTATTCTCTCATCAACTTACTAAGGTCTCTTTAAATTAAGCAAAGCATCATTTGATTTTTTTTTTTTTTTTATAATCATTCCGTCAATTTATCACGGCATTTTATCATTTTATTTCATCATCAGCCCATATATTTTTCATTTACAATCATTCTATTATTATAACATATTTAACTACGGCATTTCAGCCTGATGATTATTACTGATTCAAGATTGTCCACTTGCAACCTCATAAGTATATATTTTAAGACCATAATAAAAATATTCCTAGATTCTCATCCCCGCCCGCCTCGATTTTATACCCCCACCTTGATTTTTTTTATTTCTGTTTTTCTTCGTCTTAATTCTGATCGGGATCGGTATTCATCTACCATTCTACTTTCGTTTTAAATCCCGCGAAAGTCGACATGATTTTGACAGCTGAAAAGATGGTAATTGCTGTAATACATGCGTATATATTTTAAACAAGGGTCATTGGTTGAAAAAGATTGGTGATGATGTGAAGTAAGAGATAATTGAACCTTTACTATGACTTTTATTTGGGTATTGTAGATAAAATTACACCGATTGACCAGGTCAATAAAAAAATCTGCAAAATTGTAAAAATATAAAATAAAAGCCGCCCGCCCGCCACGATTTTTAAAAAAATTCGGATGAGAATCTAGCAATTTATTTATTATGGCCTAATATTATTATAATTTATTAAAATCTGTTGGCAAATGGTCTTGGGTAAAGATAACTACCGTATAATCCCTATTAACCGCCCAGGGCGCTTAAAAAATTGCGAAAAGGGGGCGGTTAATTTAGTATTCTCTTTATAACATTTTTAAATATCATATTTACTTCAAAAAATCTTCTGAAAAAAAAATATAAATACAAGGAACCACTAAAATGATGTCTAACTTTACTTTAAGTGAAGATAATTCACCCAAATTATGCTAAATTATTCATTTTCCAGCGAGAAATTGGATAAAAGACACGTTTCATTTTTACTTTCTTCACATCTTTGATACGATTCTAGATAATTTTAATCACTGTACGGGGGCCCTTATTTCCTGGCAATTGAAAAAGACCTAAGGGGGCGCTTATAGGGGCAGGGGCGGTTAATGGAGATTATACGGTAATTAAAAAAAAAATACATATAGTTTCTTTTTTGCCTACAGCTATGGGGCATTACTTCACTTAGTGCACTCAAGCTTCCCTAAAACTCCTGCCCTTAATCAACTTCCCTCTATTTGTCATGTTTGTTACAAAATAAAGGTGATCAAAAGATCTTAAAATCTATGACTGTACACAACATAGATCAAGGCGATCGGACTCTTCCCTTTTCTCAGAGGGCTTGGTGCAATTTAAATTAGGTACAAAAAAGTAAACTTTATATGTTGACTGGATAATTAGCAATAAAATTTCCTTTTTTGCTTGATATCGTTACAGATTATCTTTAATTAAAGGATGTATTCGCATTGACAAAAGAATTGACCTATGGGAGAGAACAATTTCCCGGATAACAGTGACATTTAAATATTAATCTTTATTTGTTGTTTTCTACCGTATATTTGTCTAAATTTTTCAAATTTGTATTTTGTACCTAACATTTATTATTAACAACTTTACAATAAACCTCCAAAGTTGGCTGAAACACCATTTTGTCCGTTAAAGCGTTGATTTTTGCATGAATTTTGGCCTAGAAGTCCTTCAGGGTAGGCCTGTCCCTAAATAAAACTATGATATTTAGATAGGTTGGGATGTAAGGAATGATTTAAGATAGGATTTTTTTAGGGGCACCCCTGCCCTAGGGTCGAAATTCACAAAAAACCTACAAAAAATAAGGAAACCTGATTTTGAAAATCTGCTTCAAATTTATACCTGGCATTCTTATAGACGGACTAGCTCAGTTGATATATGAGTTGGTTTTACACCGTGAAATGCATCTTTTTAAAGTCGCGGGTTCGAATCCACCTGGCACTACACTTTTGAAGTTTTAAATTTCACCTTTTCAAAGACTATTTTAATTTTTTTTAATAGACTTGTGTATTTTCCTTCAATTATCTATCCTTTATGTATGCCCATTCTTGATACAAGAAAAACTAATTGAGATGTCAAATCGTAACAATCAAATGTACAGTTGTCAGTCAGGCGGAACAAACCTCAGTATAAGCACACTTTCTCCGAGGACAAGAGTAACTCACTCTGTGTTATTTGATACAAGTATTCTTGACAGCATTGAGCTGCGACGAATTTCAATTGTATATATTCCTTAGAATTTAATCACATTGATTTTGGCTACATATATCAGTAACTGTACTCCCTTGGATTTCATTTAATAGGCCTATATATTTCCATTTCTAATTTTTTTTTCTCTGCGATAACTCTTTGAAAGTTGTCGGAATTTATTTCTTGATAATTCTGCCGGAATGTAAATTAGGCAGGTCGATAGGTCAGGAGCTAAGGAGGCCTAAAATGCATGCAAATCTCGTGCGCATCTGTCTCTGTGTCTGGCTTCGCCCGTTATGCAAATTATCCCATGTTTCCCACTATTGTTGATGCCCTGGCATACTCTCCTAACTAGACAGTGATTCCTTAAATAATTTGCACACATTAATGACATTTATTTTTATTATGTCCACGGATAAATAGCCTAGACATAAAGAATAGAATTTCAGAGGCAGTAGACATTACCATTATGCACATTGAGAAGTAAAGACAAATATCAATTATTACATTTGGAGATAACAAACTCAGAAAATCAATGAAATTTTTTTTTCTACCTCTACTCACTGAAATAAAGATGTAGAAAAAACAAATTGTTAAATGTATTCGGCCTAATGTCATTAATCGGAACGGAAATCGACAAGCTTTTTGTAGAGAAAAAAACCAAGCCCGGTCCTATAGGTCAGATCCCTATTTATAATGAAGTGATCCTTTAAAGAAGAGCATTTATCAAGTGAATTTAAAGCAATTTGTACATAACAACACAGGATCATACATTAACCATTAACCAACATTTTGCTGACTGCGTGCCATATTTGTCAATTAATATTCAATAATAAAATGAGAAATCTTTTCTTTAATTCATTTTAGAAATCATTTCCTTCTTTCTTCAAGTAGCAATCGAAGGACTCGAGATTTTCATGACTCATTATAGGATGCCTAAATTATTCTCAGTTTCTGCGGAACCACACAAGAGCAACATTACAGAATATAATAAACCTATCAAAATAAGCCAGTATCATGTGGGACACATGCCCTTTAGTTCCTCTAACAAATCACGGATTCTGGCTTCCTGATTCAATTGATACGAAGCAGTTGCTGGAATCTCACTGATATCAGGGATATTCTGGAGTAAATTTAACATGCATACAGAACTGTGAATCTGTTCAGCGTCTTTATAACTTGTAACAGAGAACACGATCTCTGGTATTTAGTGTATCTCCAATCAGGGCACAAAAAACCTCTGAACTTAGACATGTATGCAGATCATGTCCATTATTTATAAAATTAACAATATGTATTTTGCTACATTATTCAGCATCAATATGTGTACATGCAGTTACTTTACAGTAAAGACTGGCCTGTACATATCAAATACATATATCAGTCTATCAGACAAAATATATCTCAAAAATTCATTGCTATTTCTTCCAAGATTTAACTTAAAGTGTGTCTCTGACTAAAGATGTGATCATATATGTTTATAACTCAAGTTTATATTTTCTCCAAGCTACATTTAATTTAGTGAAAATTAGGAAAATCTTAATCACTACATGGAGTTCAAAGTATTTTAGAAATTTTTGAAATATTCAGAGAAATATGGGGTTTTGGTGTCATGTTGTAAATTAAATTTCAGGGAAGATTTTCAGGAGTCTATTTTTACATTTTTCACAATTAAAACTTCCTTCTCAGATGTATTTTAAAATGTCTGAAAAGAATTCAGAGGTATATGTATTAAACTTGGTCAACTAGATAGTTGGATCACCTTGAAAAAGATCGACATACATGTACAAGTTCAACCTTTCAGTCTTTCTTTTTTAGTTCTTGATTTCTAAACCAAACATAAACATGTACTGAAATCTTAGAACATGACTTGTAACTGTTTAAAGAAAGAATTCCTCAGTATAGAGATGGTCTTGTAAACTGTCTTGTGCAGAAACGTTCAGGAGATGGGATTTGAAATTCAGAAGCTACCGTTAATAATAAATTTGACAATTGGTTCCATGCTCGAGTGATGAACCACCAAAAAGTCATCAGAACATTGATTTTTTTTATCATTGTGTCCAATTCTGACGTCAAAATCTCATCAGTAGAAGTCACGGCAATCACTCGCTGTCAAAATTATCAGCCACAGACACTTGAATGTTACATCACTTCGCAATTTTGTGTCATAAATGGCAAGATGAGAAATATGGCTGCATTGATTTATTGAATTGCAGAGCTTGTTTCTTTTTATGATTGAAAATTAGAGAATCAGCAAAAAGAATCTTTTTTACAAATTAACACACATCAACAAACAATTTTTCTTATCTCTGAGACAGAAGGGTTACGTTGGTACTTTTCCGTTATATTTATGCAGTTTCTTCCTATCCATGCCAGAGATAATCAAGTTGACTGTATATTTTTACTACCTTACCATCTTTGTTGGCCTGTTCATTTAGAGTTCTGTCCCCTTTCGTTCTATGGTGCTTTCTGCGTTTGTGTTTATGTCCATGTTTGGGTAAATGCAGACCAATGAAAACTGTGGAATGAGATCTATGATCTGAAATAAAAAGAAGCGATAACAAATTATACAAATATTCTTACAACTGCACTGTTACAGATTGGATTAGCATGCACAACTAATTATTATTAGGAATGTAATTCTTAATGATTATAAACATATTTTCTAGTGCATTATTCAGTGTCAGTATAACACATAGATTTAGAACTCCCTTAGTAACCTCTGCCACCTTTGGTTTTAGCTGGCAAGGAGAGTCATTTGTACCATTACAAAGCTTGCAGGAAGTCGGTTGCAAATGCTAGCTCACCTTAAGCTAAAGTAGAATGTGTGGTATTTCTAAGAGATACATTTTGTTGTTGGTTTTTACAGCCTGAATCACTAAAACAATAAAACCTCTTGCAGATTTCTTTCTTACTGCAATGACCTTCAAACTTTAAATCTATCAAATTCTCATTCCGCACCTCATTGACGATCCCACATATAACCATTACGGCTCGTTAAATTAAGTGTTACTCTGAAGCAATCAGCTTCATCAAAGTTCAATACACATCATCCATTGCTGATTGGCTTTGGCAAGTAAAAGAAAAAAATTCTTCTTTTTTTCTTCTCTTAGATTCATGAAAATTGTTCTTCTATCTCTGTGCAAATTCCCGAAAGGCTTGATATTTCCCTTACTACATGTACACATTTGAGATATTGAAAGTTCAAACATGTATTACATCATTTTTTTCATTAATAACTTTGCTCTTGGTTTGTCTTTTACTTAAAGACAATAGCAGACTTTGTGAGGCCCAAGATGGTTGCAGCATCTCAATTCAAAACTCAGAGGTACTGTGAGCAATAAGCTAACTAAATGATACCCCCCGCCTCCCATATGAATATAAATGGCAGTGTTCATGTTTTGCTGTTAGAAACCCAAAATAGGTGTTGATCAAAACGTAAACTAGGAGGTGCACAATGGCAATATGTAAAAAAGATTCTGTGAAAGTTCATCAAATTTCATTCTGTGGTATGAGAGGAGTTGCGGATAAGAGATGGGTACCCAATAGTGTAACAGATGGACGGACGGACATACAGATATACAGATTACTATATACCCTTCCGCTTTTCAAGCTGGGGGTATAATGAACTTATATGCTCAGTTCTTTAGTAGTTAAATCTAGTAAACTTTATTTGCAACAGGCCCATGGGTCACATTGCTCAGCTGAGCACTTTCAAGTTAGGAAAAAGCAGTAGCTTGGGGGAAACATTTGAACATATTTCATATACACTTTTTGAAATGCTAGCTTCTAAATTAATAATCTTTGTCATTTTTTGATTGAGCAGCTATATAAGACAATCTTGAATGGAACATATTTTATGTGTATGAACATGTAAATATAAATGAATCGTGCAACAGGTTTTGCCTTTCATAATACCCCTTCAGTAAGTTTTGTTTTAAGAGCTATTAAATTACCAATTCTGGTTAGAAAATCAATCTTCATGCTAATTTGCAATTCCTATAAAATTGCAGTTAGTCTATTTCCATGAGAGAGGATCTATTGCCAGTGGCCTGAGAAAGCTCAGATGGTAGAGGCTCTACCAGTGCCAGCTGACTGGAGATTCAGGGGACCCAGGAGTTCGAATCCCGGTCTGGTCCGCTGCATTTTTCTCCTCTCCCATTACACTAGGTGCTGTCCTTAAGGACAAAGAAAAAGGGGAGAATATTGTGGTCAAACAGGTTCATTGCTGGTGGCTCATGCAGGTATGGAAGAATTGAAGGTGATTGGTTCCAAGCAATGTGTGGTCCATCATATTTTTCTCCTTTCTCATTAATATAAGTGTCAAGATTGTAGCACTCATAGAAAACACATCTGAACGGTATAGTGGTTTATTTGAAAACTCCACAAGTATATAACATAACGTTATAGTAACGTCTATGACGTCATAGTACTGCGACGTCATAGTTCGGCAAAAGTCACTTACATAAACATGATTATATTGACAAAGGTAAATAAGAAAAGCACTTATATCTATAATTCACAACATTCTCCGGCCCACCAAAGTGTCCATATTTCACAACATTCTCCGGCCCACCAAAGTACGAATTCAGTAAGTCTTTGGACCGAGAAATAAAAGGGAATTTGAATGAATGATTAATAAAAAATTCTTGAAAAGTTATTCGCAATGTCACTTGAAATGTAACGCTCTTACACTAGGTTTAAGTTTGGATTTCCTCTATGTCTTTGAGTTTGGTACCATCACATATGAACAAAGTCTTACAAGAAATCGTCCTTCTCCTTACTCTAATGTCCGAAGTACTCCTTGATGAATGCATTCTCCTTGGCTTGAATTTGCTCCTTATGCTGATCAATCTGATGATCCATAATCTTCACCTTCCTCTTCATCTCTGCGATCTCATCCCGTGACTCGATGAGGTTCTTACTGTATGTCCTCTCGACATCTCTGAAAGTTTTGAATGTTTTCTCCTGTTGCCTGATATTGCTGTCATCCTTGGAAATCCTCTTGAAATCAACAAACTGCATGCCATGAACTTTGTTATCCTCTGTATAATTCTTAGATAGGTTATTGGCCTCTGTGGTGTAGCGGTCTCGTTCCTTTTCCAGTTGGTTGATGATGTTTATCTGTTCCTGGGTCTCCTCTCTGTACCTCTGTTCTAGGTTATTCTTATGAACGTTATCTAGTTTCTTGGATATCTCTGATTCCATCTTCAAACCAGTAATTTGATCTCTTGGATTTTCTCTCTGCTGTTGTACATCTGAATGAGTATTTTCTCCCACTTGCTGAAGTTTCCTACCAGGTGTCTCTCTTGATGATTTGAGCTGTTGTATCTCCTGTTTGAGCGTATTAACTTCAACTTCTTTTTTCTTCAACTCTTCAGCTTGACTCTCAGCTGTCATCTGATTTGTAGCAATTGACTGTGCATGAAATTTGGTCTGAAGCATTGCAAACTGGGTATGTAAAATGTTAACATCTTTCATGGTTTTCTCACTCAAAATCCTCTGTTCTGATATCTGCTGTTCCAATGTAGCAATGACACTTTTATAGTTCTTATTTTCGTCCTGTAGATTCTTGATTTCCCTGGTCTTTGCATCCAGTTCAGCCTTTGCTTGTAATGTATGGGTATTCCTCCTTTTGGTTTTGACGGCATTATGAGCAGTGCACAAACTTGTGTGATGACGTTTTTTGCAGATTTTGCAATTGAATTTAGACTGACATTCCACAACACAATGTCTCCTTAAACAATTAAAGCACAGCTTGTCTCGTCTGACAATTTTCATGCGGTCATTGTGTTTTATGTATCTTGTACAGCCACTTGAATGATGCGACTCCTTGCAAAATGCACAGCAAACTTGACGATTCCAAGGACTGTAGTTCCGCTGTGGTTGCTCATCAATGGAATCTGAGTGCATGTAGAAAATAGCTGTAGCACATTCTTCTGTTGTGTCCATATGAGTTCCTGCTTCTAGTATGTCTAGTTCCTTGTAAAGAGCCTTTCTCAAGTCACCTAGTAACCAGTCGGTAGATCCATGCTCACGTGCCAGATTCTTGCGTATTTCAGTGGGTAATTTGTTAAGAATCACTGGTACTAGAAGAGAACCGTATGTATCTTGAGCTTGTCCATAAGATTCTAAACCTCTGACGTATGTCTCCACTTGGTCATGAAAATGACGCAGGCTTGTGAGATTATTCTTGGGAGCGGTTAGGTCTAAGAACGCTTGCATGTAGGATTGAGTTATCTTATGTTTTTGTCCAAACCTTTCATGTAGAAGCTCAATTGCTCTGTTGTAGTTTGCATGTGTGAGTGCAAATCCTGAAATGGTGTTCGATGCCTCTTCTGCTACTAAAGACTTTAAGTAATTAAACTTTTGAACTTCTGTCAACGTGTTGTTGCTATGAATAGCCGAATCGAATGAATCCCAGAATGACTGCCACTCCAACACATTTCCCTCAAAAATGGGTAAGTTTAATTTCGGAAGTTTGTGGAAGTTACCACTGTTTGGATTTGAATGAAAGCTTGTAAGGGACTGAGGAGTTCTTGAATTTTCACTGAAATTGTGTCTTGATTGACTATTCTCTTCAATTTGTGAATTTTCATTCTGGTTTGAATAAATGTTGGCTGATGGATTCAAATTTGAACGATGAACTATCAGATGTTTCTTAAATTTTCTCATTTTAGAATTAAGATTGAAATTGTACTCATCTGTCTCCAGTATTTCTCTCTCAATATCCTCCTCTGCTGTTTCTGTTAGAATTTTTTCATCCAGATCTCTAAGAATTTCCTGTTTGTCCGTTAATGTCTCCAAAATTGCTTCAATTTCCTCTGCATCTTCATTTTCTTCATCCAGTCTTTTTAGAAGTCTGGTTACAGCACTTCTCTGTCCTGCTCTTACTGCCTTCAGTTAAGAAGTCATCTCTCCTCTTTCGTCACGGCACCAATGTCAAGATTGTAGCACTTATAGAAAACACATCTGAACGGTATAGTGGTTTATTTGAAAACTCCACAAGTATATAACATAACGTTATAGTAACGTCTATGACGTCATAGTACTGCGACGTCATAGTTCGGCAAAAGTCACTTACATAAACATGATTATATTGACAAAGGTAAATAAGAAAAGCACTTATATCTATAATTCACAACAATAAGTTTAACATGAACATGATGAACATAGACTTTGTTTATAGTGGTCATAAATCAAAACTAGAGGTACTGTGATCAATGAGCTCACTAAATGACACCCCCCGCCTCCCATATGGTTATAACTGATGAAAAAGTCCATGTTTTGCTGTGGCCGGGAAACCTGAAATATGTGTCAGATCAAAAAGTAAAATAGAACGTCACAATGGCAATATGTAATAAAGATTCTGTGAAAGTGTCAATAAATTTCACTCAGTGGAATAAGACTGAGGAGTTGTGGATAAGAGATGGGTACCCTATTAGGCTAAATCGTCACAGAAGGACGGACGGAGGCACAGACAGCTAGATGTACAGATGGACGGACGGACATATCAATTACAGTATACCCTCCCACTTT